CACGTGCGTGAACGACCCAGATACATTCCCTCTTTAGACATGATCAGACGAACGAAATAGATCACAATGGACGGTTCAGATTCATTCACGCCATCAGCTTAAACAGGAAATCATCGAACAGTCCTCCTTGCTCCACGTTGACACAAACGAACGTCGTGGATCAAAGAGGATAGGAGTATTTAAACTTCTCTTCGCATGAGAACCTAATCCTAGCCCTAGCCCTAGCCCTAGCCACCCAGTCATTGCCGGAGAAGAAGAACCAGACGGTGAAGAAGGAAGCCGAACCCCCGCTGATACTGTACCGGAGCTAACATCGACTGTCAAAGAAGGTAAAATTTTCTCCTCCCCGCTCGGAATTCAATTACGAGTTTTCCTGTCGCCATATCGGATCAAAAGGGACAGTGGGTGAGACGGAAACCGCAAGCAAAGCTCGTTGGAGCCACCGCGGCCAAAACCCTAAACTCTCTTCGATGACCCCTTCCTGTTTTCTGTTTCACACGATTCTTTGACCATCATGTTCACCGTCTCTGTTTGGTGCAGGTTAGCCGAAGAAGAATCCCAACCACGAAGGAGAACCGGCGGAGCCGCTGCACTCGGAGATCCCCCTACCGGTAAATTTCAGTTTTTTAATTTTTTTTAGCAAACCAAGGCTTCCTAACGTATTTTTGTTATAGGGATACATGTAAAATCGGTCAAAAACAGTCATACCGAGGTAAATCATCGTCGTGGGCAGCAGAGTCGCCATGTCGGAACCCTAAAATTGGCCGAAAAGGTTTTTCAACATCGATTTTGGATTTTTAGGGTATTTTTGATTACATGACGAGTATTTTGATTTCTGCAGAAAAAATTCAGAAAATCCAAAACCCGTTAGGAGGCGTAAGAAATAGTAAAGCATTTCGAAACATCAATCCGGGTAAAGATCTCTCAACTTATTCTCTGTTACGGTAAACTGAGGCTTAATAATTAATAATCTTGTGTTCTGTAAAAATTAAAAAAAAACTTTAATAATAATTATAGATCACTAGTGGAACCGAGAACTAGCCTTTGTACGATTATCCTAACTTGTCTGTGTTGCTTATTTATCTTTCTTATACTGCCTAAATTGCTTATTATCCATTGTGTGCTTCTAATTATTAATTTGAATTATTTCTTATTTATTGATTGTGTTACCTAATTGTGATTTCCTTAATCTCGTTGATGGATTGGAAATAAAAGTCCTAATTACGTGTCTTGATTGTTAAATTGTATTGTTTGCTTATATGACGTTTAAATTAACTTGTGAATATAAAATGAGATGTTGGTATGCGATTGGTGGTTGTAATATTGATGGAAAGCTATATATGAAAGACTTACTGGGAACCCTATAAAATTGTGGACGGACCCGGTACATAAGGAACCCTATAATAGACATTAACTCAGTCGGACATGACTAAAAGGTCTCATACCAAAAGAATTTGAGAGATATGGTTCACTCTCATACCGGATAAGATATCGAGGCGATTGTGTGTTTGGTGCCTATTACCAGACGGGGTATGGGGACGACCGGGTTAATGGTCAAATTTAGATGCAGGGTTCACAAGTAATGGGATATCCCTATGAACCCTCAGGAGTTCCAGTAAGTAGGTTAAAAAAGGAAAATTACTGATTTTGTTCATTTGCGCATGAAATTAAAATGTTATCTGGTTACTTGTCTTCATAAGTTAATTTTGGAAAACTCATAATAGTAATACATAATAAATATTTTAAAGCAAAATGAATTTACTTAAATTAAGGGCTCCATTAGTCATTTTGTAATTTTTATCAACTTTTGATTTTCTATATGAGTGATTAGTGTGATATTCTTATTGGGTTAGCGTAGTTCACCCTTTTATTAACTATTTCATATTTTAAAAAAATCAAGATCCAGATCCCGATCAGCAAGAGGATTGTGAGTAATTTACCTCTCTGACTCCCTTCAAGTGCTCGTGGAGGTTAACCCCCTTTGGACCTCTATTTATTTATTTTTAATTATAGTTTTGCCCCTATTTTTATGAACTGTTGTAATAAGAACATTCCAGTTGCTCTATTGAACATTCTAATTTATTACGTAAGTAAAGAAAACTCTAATTATATCATTTACTTTCGTAATTAAAATATAAATTCGTTTCCTTTTAATTTTTGGGCCTTTACACACAAAAAAATTCAATTAAAGAAACCAAATTAAGACTCTAAAAAGAATTAATTCTAACACATAGTATAAAATTCGAGATTTGATTACAAACATATTATAGAAACAGAGTAATTCAAACTGTATGTATAAAAAAAATCAAACTAAATTTAAATATTATTTTTTTCAATAGACCTTATCTCTTCATCCATTGTTTTTTGTTATCTTGTATTTATGATAGTTTCTCGAAATGTTATCGGATTACGATCTAATAATAAAACATAATAAATGAGAGTAAACGAATATCACAAATCTCATAATTGTTGAAATTAAGATGTCACTATTTCACGATTAAGTCACCGCTACTTAAATATTGTTAAATTCAAATAGTCATTTAACTTATGACTAACAACTTTTAAATACATATTTTTTATAAATAAATATAAATATACGGTATACAAAATTCATGTATTTTTAAAATTAAATATATCATTTCACGCCAACCCAACATCGTTAAAGTAATTTATTTTAAAAATATATTTGGAAACAAATTATGGGTTTCAGGGCAGACTACAATATATAATAAAAACAAAAATTTCAGCATCAGAATTATAATATTTTAATAAAATTTTGGATTGTATAATAATATTTTATTATAACATGTTACCATATTCTTATTGCATGTCCTGGTACAATTAATAAGTAAAAAAAATAGTATCAAATTAATGGCACCATATTACATTATATTATATAAAGTTATATTATTATAATTTTTAAATTTTCTTTTTAATAATAATAATTTTGTTTCTAATATTTAATATTACCATATCTAATTTTGTTTTTAAATTATTTTAAAAATAGATATGGGTATTCACCCGAATCATATTCCTTGGAAATTAAGGTCATGGTTGGGATGGGACCATGACCTTAATTTCAACCCAAAAAATATAAGGAGATTTTATTTTATATATATATATATATATGGAATATTTAATATTAAATATATTTACTTGAATTATTCTGAATAATTTAGGGAAAAAAAATATAATTCTGTTCCTATAATTTGTACTTATTATAATTCGATTTTTATAGATTTAATTTTTACCCTAATACACGAAATTTATGACTTAAGAAATTTGAAATTATAAAATAATAACTAAAAATCCCCAATTTTACCTACCCAAAAAAAACCTATATAATTTTAATTGTAATAAATCTATGGTCAATTCGTGTACTTCATCACACCGTTAATCTACAACATCGAATTGAGATTGATTGATGACATCCAGACCGTTCCTATTGTTGACTTCATCAAAGAATTAACATCTTCCCATTGAATGTTGAAACCGAGAAAGATAAAGGTGATGCTGAGTTCTGGATACGCCAACACCCGGCTATCATTTGTCCACTTCATATATATACATATATATATATATATATATTAAAAAAATACTCCGCGTTAACTGGGTGACAGCTATATATATATATATGTATGTATGTATATATTTCGTGTTCAAGGACTTGACTTCATTCATCTTAGTATCTTAATCGAGTCTCACTTGTGCAGACACGAGATGCACATGCATGAAGTCTATATATGTATATGCGTACGTAATTCAGTCTATGCAATGCATATGATTCACTGCTTCATGGTCTCTCCATATATGTATATATGTATATATATGTACATGTGTAATTGCCCAACGAAAAGAAAGAAAATGATATTTTAACAAAATTTTCAAATAAGTCAAATGGAGGAAACATCAAATTTGGGATAACTTACGAACATCATGAACACTAGAATATATTTTTAGAAATTTTAGATAGTTGGTATTCAACAAATTTTATTTATTTTTATATTACTTTTAGTTTAATTTAGATGGTAAATTAGACTTTTATTAATTATGTAATTAATTGAAATTAGGGTTGTTTTTTAATTTGTATTTAAAGTTTAGTAGCATTTTCAAGAAATAAATAAACCATTAAATTATTATTCATATATATATATATATGAATTCATATATGTATATGTATATATAAGATAATAGATTAAGGGGGTAAAATATATGTATGTATAAACCTTCATCCAAACATATCCTTCAATTAGTTATTAATTAAAAAATCTTAGAAAATTTGTGGTGTAAATTGAGAAATTTTCATGATTGTAATTTAGCTTGA